CTCGAAGGCGCCTCTTCTTGACAAGAAATGTGAGAAGTGTGGTCGCAAGAATCACACGACGGAGCAGCACTGGGACACAAAGCCAGCGAATTCTGGCTCGAGTTCCGGTAACGGCAACAATACGCAGCAGCAGCAGCAGGGTGGCAGAAAGCGCAAGAAGGGAAAAGGAAAGAGCAAAGCAAAGGACAATACCGCGACGACCACGCAGACTGTAAATACCATACGATTAGTCGATGTACCACTAGTAGCTAAGATTGAGGAGGAATCCATCTCTGTTTCTCTTTATGCTACGGGTGTCAAGTCTAAGTGGATGATTGACAGTGGTTGTACAACACATGTCACACCGTACAAAACTGACTTTATTCGGTATCATGAATTCCCTAAGCCAGATCATGCACACACGGCCGGTAAAGGTCAGACTATCGAAATCAAAGGTCATGGTGAAATCGCTCTGCAACATCGTCTCACAGATGGACGAATTCAACATATCCGGTTAGAAACCGTATTATACGTACCGGAAGCAGCAGAACGGTTCTTTGCACCCAGAATGCCACTCAATAACGGTCACCGTATTGAGATGGATGGCAAGAAGTTTAAATTACTCCGCGGGTCAGACCCAACACAGTGAACAGTTTTAATGGAGGGCGAATATGAAAAGTCGTCAGGTTTATATTGGCTAGAAGCTGAAGTCCTCACTAGGACTAGCAAGATTAAGCCAGGAACATTAATGTCGGTCAAATCTGACGATCCATATACCTTGTGGCACCGTCGCTTCGGACACGCCGGGAAGAAATCAGTTGTTCAACTGCCTGGCAATGTCAAAGGCATCCCAGACAAAATCTCAGCTCCAACCAGGGATACTCCCTGTGATGGGTGCAAATTCGGGAAGTCTCGTCGCGATGCTTTTCCTGCGTCTGACAGTCGTGCAGATCATCCCCTCGACTTAATTCACATGGATCTTGTCAAATATCCGTCGTTATCACTCGACGGGTACAAGTTTGCCCTCACCACCCTCGACGACTATTCCTCATTTGGTTTAGTCTGGTATCTGAAACGGAAGTCTGATGCCTTATCTGCCTTCAAGCAATTCGTTGCTTGGGTGGAAACACAGGCCAAGCGAAAGCTTAAGGCTATACGTTCGGACCGTGGGGGGGAGTTTTTAGGACGCGAATTCAACGATTTCCTAGCAGAACGCGGAATAGAGCGCCAACTATCAGTGGCGCGGACACCACAACAGAACAGCAGAGCAGAACGCTGGCAACAGACCATTCAAAATAAGGCAGAAGCTATGTGACATCACGCTGGCATGACGTCTGGGTTCTGGAAGCTAGCATTGGAAACAGCAGTACATATATACAATTGACAACCTCTGCGCCGTCACCAATGGAAGCCGCCCATCACTAAATGGAACGGCACTGTTCCAGACGTATCGTACTTTCAAGTATGGGGCTGCAAAGCCTACGTCCACACACATAAGGATGCGAGGGTCAATAAGCTACAGCCAAAGGCTAAAGTTATGATCTTCGTCGGGTACAAAATCGGTACAAAGGGTTACCAATTCTGGGATCCAACTGCCTGGACCATCGTTGTGTCACGCGACATCACCTTCGATGAGTCTTCCTTTCCCAAGCGAAACAAAAGGCCTCGTGAGCCTGGAACATCTCAAGATCCAATTCCACCTGTCCTACCCGATCAGCCGAACCCGGACCTAACCAGTCCGGATGACTTCACGCCTGATGATCAATCTCCCGACAACGCACATCCACAACCGCGGCAAGATGAACCGCAACAACAGGATGATGATGAAGTCAATGACGATCCAGCCGATCGTTATGAACAATATTGAAGCTCAACTCTGGAACCATACGAGCATCCGGAGATACCATTTGTTCCCGGTCCACCTCCTGGACAACCTCCACCTCAGAGAGAACAATATTGTCCTCGTCAGAGCGGACAAGCTGGTCCATCTTGTCAGGCAGCACCACCTGCTCCTGATATTAGGCAATGATGGAATCTCGAACCACAACCTGTGCCACATCCGGCCAGACCACAGCGCGAGAATGCAGGCCAACGCCGTGTTCCTGACAATAGCTATGGTGACGTCCTGCCCACTGAAGCATGGCGTCAACAGGAACGAGATATCCAACGTGATCAACGAGAAGAACGAGAAGCACGTGAACAACGTGAAGCCTCTCCAATGGAAGTCGATGATCAACTCCATCGGAATTTATTCCAATGGATATGTCATGCTCACCAACCTGACCCCACTACGTACCGCAAAGCAATGTCTCGCCCAGATGCGAAACAGTGGGAGATCGCAATGAAAGAGGAACTCAAGTCTCAGGAGGAGAATTTCACATGGATTCTGGTCAACAGACCAAATAACCGGAGAATTGTAAAATGCAAATGGGTTTATGTGATCAAGCCCGGCGGCCGATACAAAGCACGTCTTGTGGCCAAAGGATTCACACAGATAGAGGGGATAGATTTTCAGGAAACCTTCTCTCCCATCGCACGTTATGAAGCTATACGCTTCTTACTCGCACATGCCGCACTCGAAGATTGGGAAATTGAGGCAATGGATATCAAAACGGCCTTCCTGTATGGCGAGCTTGACGAGGAGATTTACATGGAACAACCAGAAGGCTTTGTGAAGAAAGGACAAGAAAAGATGGTGTGTCGATTGAAGAAGGCTATCTATGGCTTACGCCAAGCCTCATGCACCTGGAACGAGAAGCTACACACTACGCTACTCGAAAATGGATTCAAACGCACACACTCAGACGCTGGCATTTATGTTTATCATCACGACAAAGTCGAAGTTTACCTCATAGTTTACGTCGACGACCTTCTACCAATGGGTCCAAGTTTACCCGAGATCCAACGAGTCAAGAAAGTTCTTGCAGAGAAATTCCAAATGCGAGATCTTGGAGCCGCTGGTACATTCCTTGGAATGCGGATCACTCGTGATAGAAACAACAAGCGTCTGGAAATCGACCAACAGTCGTATACCGAAGGAATCCTATCTTGGTTCCAGATGCACAACTCAAAACCTTGCCGTGCACCGCTGCCTGAAGGCATACATCTCAAGAAAGCTGCGGAAACATATACCGCTACAGACGCACTCCGCCATAACTATCAGTCAATGATTGGTAGTCTCATCTATTTGATGATTGGTTCATGACCCGACATCGCCTGGGAAGTCACACAACTCTCACAGTACATGCAAAACCCTACGTCACAGCACGTGGAAGCTGCGAAGCACATCTCCCAGTATCTCCGTCATACTACCGAGTATCGTATTCGGTACTCTGGCTCAAATCAGTCAGGTTTGATAGGGTATTCCGACACAGACTGGGGCGAAAATCGGGATAACTGGCGATCAACAACTGGTTTTGTTTTCCTAATGGCCGACGGAGCAGTCACATGGGCATGTCGGATGCAGAAGATGGTGGCAAGATCATTGACAGAAGCCAAATATATGGCACTCTCGGAGGCATGCTCTGAGTTAGCCTGGCTAACGTCACTCCAAAAAGAGTTAGGTTACTTTCCTACTGCACCACCACCTTTGGTAGCAGACAAACAAGGAGGAATCTTTCTCGCAGTCAATCCCACGTCGACATTCGATATCACTTCATACGCGAATACGTAGAAGAGAAACGAGTGGATATAGTCTACGTTATTACGGACGAAATGATTGCCGACACGTTAACGAAGCCACTTGGTGCAACGAAATTCGAGCATTTCCGGTCTATGCTAGGCTTGGTCTTCAGTAGATTAGGCAATAACTAGTCGAGTGGGAGTGCCAGAACTGGGCGATTACATCATTGCCCTGTATGGACTAATGGGGATATCATCACATGATCCCTCTATTATCTTGTAGTAATACGATATCTGATTACTCATGCTTAGTATACATGCTTACGCTCACAGTACCATAGGTCTTATAGTGGTATCAGAGGTCCTCACTCACATGTATATATACTGGCCCTGTAGCACAGAATAAAGCAAGAGTTCAGTCGCACTTTCACATTTGGTGCACCCAAGCCTGGGCTTTCGGGCCGGGCTTGGGCTTGACTACGCTCCGAGCCCAGCCTTGAGACCGCTGCCAGGCTTAGCTTGGGTCAGGCTTTTTGGGCCGGGCTTGGCAGGCTCGCGGGCTTTGAGGCCCGGCCCGCACATCACTAGTACCAACATAGCAGGTAGCTCGTGGACGACTCGTATCAAGGTCGAGGAGAGGTGAAGGTGGATCTTGGTAATGGAAGAGAACACATAGCCCCGAGCTCACGACCCTCTCGTTCAGTTGATTCAGCTTTCTTGGAATGTGTTGTCATCTTTTCTTTCCATGTACGAGCCGCAATTGAGGAAAATATGTCTGCTATATGCCATGTAAAGTACAGTTGCGGGCAAGCAAAGTCGACCATTAGTAGGATGGGGGACGAAATCAAATTTTCTGGGCTAAACGGAATGCAGGAACAGACTCAGCAAGGCGAAAGGAGCTCGGAAATGCGTCTCCGAAGTTTTTCGCACTGCAAAATAGCGCCGGCGAATTCTTTTGACCTTTTCGTCGCCGTACGAAAGGCACTTTGGGCCCCAGCAGGAGACTTCTTGGGTGGGAAGTAAATTAGTAGAACACATAGCTGGGCGGATCGGAGATACTCCTCGGATCAACGATCTCTCGGCATTACCCGGCGGTCTGAAAGAGGCATGTCTCGTCAAAGCATCTTTACATAATCCCAGACCGTCGCATTCCCCCTCGCGCGTCTCTTGCTCCTTCTTCTCGGCGTCCGTCTCCCTTTACGTGACCGAAAATCGTCTCCCCGTGGATATGTACCCAACTTCAATTGCGCTTGGAGTACGGCGGCGACAAAACACCCGAACTGTCGAGAATCCTTGCGATTCGGAAGCGCGTGCGTACCATATGCCACAAACTAGACGCCTATCTCATTGTTCAGTAGAATGCCGGTCAGGCGATATAAGCGTATATTCTCTGCAGACCCCACACCTTCATCAACTAGTGCGCCTCTACCATGACCACTCGTCAAACGAAGACAATCACCTCTGCGGACGGCACCCGCATCTATGCCCTCGCTGGTGGTGACCCCAGCAAACCTGCCCTCATCTGCATACACGGCTTTGCCTCGACCTCGTTCGCTTTCAGCAAGCAGTTCGAAAACCCCGCGCTCCTCAGCAAAGTCTTCCTCGTTGCATACGACATCCGCGGCAGTGGGCAGAGCGACAAGCCTGTGGAGGCCGAAGCGTACGACGGCGCGCGGCTTGCAGGGGACTTCAAGGCCGTGTGCGACGCGTTCGGCATCGTGAGACCTGTGCTGCTCGGGTGGAGCCTCGGCGGTACGTGTATACGCTTACACTTTGCCGCGCGGCGCCGCTAACCGCCCTCTGCGCCTAGGCACGGCGTTCAACAGCGTCGCGGGCCACCTCCCGCCGGGGTACGTCCGTGGAGTGATCTACAGCGGCGGTGCAATTCCGACGCGCGCGATCCATGCGGATTACGCGTCCGAATGGCTCAAGCGCATCCTGCCAGAGCTGCTCAGCACGGACACGACCGTCATGTCGCGGGCGAGCATCGAGTTCGTCGACTGTCTTTTCGCGCGGCCAGAGCGAGTGCCTTATGAGGCCAAGGTGCGATGGCTTGGCGAAATCATGCTCGCGCCGCCGGCGACGCGCGTGCGCCTGGAAGCAGGGAGCCGCGCGCTTAACACCACGAAGTGGGAGACAGCGATCAAGAGTATGCGGCTGCTCGTCCTACAGGGGCGCGAGGACTGTTTCGCCGAGAACGACAAGATAGAGAAGCAACTCAAGGAGCGGTTCGGCGACCAGCTGCAGTTCGTGTGGATCGAGGGTGTAGGGCACATGCCGTTTTGGGAAAAGACAGAGGAGCACGACGCTGTCGTAGTAAGGTATATCGAGAGTTTGGGCGCATAGTGTACTAGAGGTATACTGCAACGCGAAATACGGACTGCTCGAAAACTCTGCACGAACAAGTATTTCACTTGAACATGCCTATCCTGGACCGACGATTTCTTGGCATTATTCGACTACAGTACGTGCGGTATAGTAATAGGTATGTCCTATGGAGTTCCTCAAAGCTATGCCTCCATCGAGTAGTACACCTACAATGACGTTTCGACTAGCTGATTCAAGCGAAGACAACTACCTCCGCCGAGAGCATGCGGACCTATGTCCTGGCCGCAAGAAGCAGAAAGCAAGCCTGGTTGCATGCATGGCTCCGCTTCAACTTCGTTCGCGTCCGACAAGCAGCCCAAGAACCTCGTGCTCAGCAGAGCTTTCCTTGTTGCATATGACGTTCGTGGAGACGGGAGAAGCGCGCGACATTCCCGAGAAACCCAGAGTGTACGATGAAGTACGGCCCACAGAGGACCATAACTTCAAGGCTGCATGTGATCTGTTCGGATCGCGTGAGTTGGAGTCGCGTCCCATCGTGCCCGGGTGAAGCTATGACATAATGGTGCGTATGTGCGTTTGCAACTGTGCTCTTGATTACTTGCATCTGCTTTGTGTCAACCTTAGTCAGCGTCCTAATCGTGTCCCGTCGCCGCTATATGTCATGCACGTGCTGCGGCGCGTATGCTCGCAGAGACCGCGAAGCTTGGCGGGCTACAGACTTGAGCTGGACACCATAGCTTCGAACTGGGGGGGCCGGCCAAGGGCATGCAACTTCTGGTTATACAAGGACGCGTGAACCGATTCATCGACAGTGAGGAGATGGAAACTTGGAAGGAGCTGATGGAGTGGTTCGGGAACAAGATACAGTTCATTTGGTCAAGGACATGTGATATCAGAGTTTGCTGAACCAGGAGAAGCCAGAGGAGCACGATGCGACACTGGTCAGGTACACTGAGAGCTGGAACTTGAAAGCGTAACATTTACCAAGACGTTGAGACAAAGCACCATATACTATAGCTAACACGTCCCTTCCGATTGTATTTAAGCGAACGTAGCGGGCTACGACCTTTCTTCACCACTGCCACAGAATGGCCTTTACTCTTACATCTTCGACCGACTCGTGTATGCGTTGCCCGCTAGGGTGGCTTTCGCCGCCGCACAAGGTCCGTTGGTCAAGCCGAGCCAAACGCAGTGGTTTGCGAGCTCGAGCGCAAGGAAAAGATCTCGGACTGGAGAACCGTGTTTCTAGAGACGAGGAGAGACATCTTCTTGGTTAGTCCGGCTTGCTCATTGCGCAGTTTCGCGTTCTCTTCTTGCAGGCTCGCAAACTCGGCAAGCTGCCTCGCCTCTTCCTCTCCTGCCTCCGTGCGAATCAGCGCTATCGTCTTGTTGAGTGAAATCACCTTCGACTGCAGCGCGGCGACCGTTTCTTGCAGACTTGCGACTTCCGCGCGCAGCGCAGCCTCGCGCTGAGTGCCCTCGTCTCGCGTGGCACCTAGCTTGATGACCCTCTGCCAAACTTCTGTGTCCCTCTCGTCATGCTCGTGCTTGAGCGTGTCCTTTGTCTTGCGCATCTCGGCCAATTCCCGCTCTGCCTGGTCGATAGACGCCTGTGCGCTGGCCTGGGGATTCGGGGGCACGTTGGCATACTGCGCTCTAGGGGTGCTGTTAAATATGTGGAATGTGGAGATATCGCCATAAATGACTGACTTCTTGCCGCGGAGATCTTGCAGCTCGGAACGCATGCTCCCGGCCACGCCTCCGAGCTCGATATCGCCACCTGCAGCCCCCAGGGCACTGCCCGCCTCCTCCGATTGTGCACGGTTATGTTCGCGCTGTCCCGCAACTACTTGGGCTCGAAGCTTCTCGTTCTCTGCACGAAGCCCGTTGATCTCCTGCTGTATTCTTGCAAGCTCACTTTGCAGCTGAAGCGGGGCAGCATGACCAACTGCGCTAACTGCGCGGTCTACGTGAGTCATTTGTGGCATATATGATAATATATCAAAGGCATACCAGAGGCTGGCATGTTGCCAATACTATCGGGAGGTATGCTTCCCGTCGCAGTATCCTCACCGCGTAGACGCTTACCAGAGGTAGGTTCAGCTGCCTCACTGCTTGCCCTGCGTGTGCGCTTCTCGCCTGTCCGTTGATCAAGAAGTGATTAGGATACTTGCGACATTGAGAGCTTACCCGTTGTTTCCTCGTTATCTTCATCCTGGGTGGATACATCTTCCTCGTCTACTTTTTCCCACTGGGCTTGCCGTAGGAGTCGTAAATCGCTCTGCATCTTTGGGCATAACTTGTCTTGGAGAGACTGAAGGTGCTCATCGAAGGCTTCCGCCTCGAGCCTCTTGTTGGTCTCTGCCGAACGAAACTCGCGTAGCAACCAACGATGGTAACTCATCATGATCCAAGCAAATTCGCTTATAAGGAGGGTCATCGCCATTGGATGAGCCTCCTCTTCATCAAGATAAACCCGAAATCGGCCTGCCTAATCTACTATGTTACTGGAATACACATCTCCATCTAGCAAAATAGTAAGTTAGAGTGATTCCTTATAACCAAGGTATCAACCATGCCTGGCAGTGTAAAGCCATGTATGATTGCCGCTACACTGTCATTAGCACGTCTTCTGTTGCTGCTGCATGGAATCAACTTACAGAGTGTGTCCTTGATGCTATGTGTATCATCTACCTCGGATAGATCATCTTCATCATCCTGTGCTGGCTGAACGACGCTCGGTCAGCCGTTGGAACTTGGAGCATGCAGCTTGCATATATGACTAGAAGTTGAGATACCTGAACAACACTCTCCTTAGCATCTTGCCAATGTGGTATATGAACTTGGAATTCTTCGGCAGCTTCTTCGTAGAACTCCTTGAGCAGCTCAAGCTTCCAGCCCGTGGGTTTTGTCAACGTAAAATTGAAGCCTCGGTAGGGCCCGGGGGCGGATCTCGTCGCTATCTGGCGTCTCCAACTCATTAGGAAAGCCTCCGGGCCAATCTTGGGATAGCGGTAACTTGGAAGTGGATAACCTGTTGCCGAACGAACGATGGGCTGACGACAGGTAAAGGCGCCTAGCTCTGCGCCCTCCATCAATCGGCCTTGGTTGCCTTATGCCGAATCTTAAGCAGCCTCGACACTGGGTGGTAAGCGTACTTTTTCCGGCGCAAAATCAGCCAAAAACTGGTTGAACAAGATTCTAACTTAAGCTTTTTCTGGATTTCGCTCGAAAGAAACCGAAGACAAAACTCAGTTTTACACCAGTTTTACTCTGTTCAGACCGTTTGCACCAGGGTCTCCTCGATTTGCGTCAGCGTAGAATCGAGGAACATTTGGGCCTTATTTAGCCGATTTTGTTCAGGTTCCCCCGAGAACAAAACTGTGCTTACCATCCTGTACGAGGTGCGTAAGCTTAGAAACTCCGACGCCTCAATGCCCCTCGACCTTGCCCTGTGGCAACGCTACTCCGGGCTCTCCCAGCTCTCGTTGAAGGGCGAGCACGATCCGAAATCGATTTTCTCTTCTAGAAAATGCACGTGCAAGCGCAGTTTACATTCAACAGAGGGAAGTTGGAAGCGAATATGCCAGTAAGCTTACTCCAACCGTCTCAAAACACGACTAACACGTCATTTATATCACGGATTCTTCAGCTTGGCAGCGATCTAGACTTTCAAACGGCCGGTCCTCAGTAATAATGGTTTGCTCGACGACGCATACAAGGTCGCGTCGCCGATGGTATGGAGGGATTAGTACATTGCGGACCAGGAATATGCTATAGGCTCACGGGAAATTGGCGAGGTATCAAGCGCATGTCAATATTCGCTCTGCTAACTGACACGCGCGAGCCGACCCATTGTCCAGTCTCGATTCAGAAGCTGGCCCGAAAACGAGTCAATCTGGAGACTGCGGCGGTGGACGCCCGGCTTCACGCCAAGATTCACGAAGCTCGAAGCCGCACTTAGAAGTGTCCTCAAAGACACGTCAGCACTATCAGTACACGTTAGTCAGGCCGGACTGGCTGCTTTGGTACGCGACGACTCTACCACACCGTACCCAGGCCTCGAGACCGTCGATGACATTCGAGAATACGCGTACGGCAATCTATCATGCGACAAGGACGGTAGCGAGGGCCACGAAGAGCTACCGCATCCAGATTTTATAATCGTGTTTGCAAGCCCGTAGCCGCGGACGTCGCCAAGTCTTCGTCATCCCGACTCGGGAGCGACTTCTATGGAGCTGCGAACCCAGCCACTATGCGAGACACACTCTCCTGGCGAAGAGGCGTCACTGCAAGAACGAGTGGGGCACGTGCATGAATACCTGCGACGATGCAGGTAGGGGCGTTTCCCTGTACCTTCGCGAAGAATCTGGTATACGTTGCGTCCTCGCAGTATTATTATTACTGAACTTTTCAGTTGGGTTCGACACCTATTGAGCTAGCTTGGCGTTCTAGCATGTAATATTCCTGATATAAATGAAGTCTCCATAATTATCCTGCACGCACGACTCATGAATGTACTAACCAAGAACTTCGGACGTGCGTCTGGTACATTACTACTGCGCTGCTCGACTATTCTCGCGACACAGAAGGGACCAAAAAAAAAGACTAAGGTAAAACCTTCAGCTAATAAAAGTATTACCTTCACGTCGCACGCCGCATCCTAGATAGCGCTGGGTAAGACCTTATGCATTCTATGCATTACATCAGGACATCCGAGCAGCGCGAACCACTCGACATAGGCAAGATCATCTGGCGGGCGCGAGAGAGAAAAAGCGTCTTGACATTACGCTCTAGGATTACAAAGATGGCACGATGCGACATCTCGCGTACTTCGTCAGCTGCGCGTACTGCGTCAACGAGTGTATGTGATACTTACCTTTCGCGCCTAGTACAGTATCAGCGGAACCAAGATAACGAGGACTGCGTGACAACGGCCAGGGCTTGTATTACCGCACTTGTTGCTGCGCACAGGCATATGACGTCGCGCTCATTGGAAGCATGCCGGTAGCGGGAAAGGTCGTCCTTCCAGAACTTAACTTTATGACAGACCAGCACCTCACCAAATCTTAACGAGAGGTGTACCGCGATATTTTGTACCTGTGTCAAACGGAGGATCCTAGTATCGAGTCTTAAGACATTTGGTAGCATCAACTACGGGCGAGGAACGCGTCTAGTTTAACGGGCCCACTGATGGCGTCTGTCAGCAAGATATACATTATCAGATATATAAGGAGGGCTTACAATAATCGTAAACGATGCGAGCATTCGTTTCTTTTCCATCAGGCCCAGTGAAAGCGATATGCCGAGTGTACCTCCTCTCGCCGTCGATCTCTTCGATGCCCCAAACCTGTGCAAGGCTCAACACCATACTAGGAAGGAATATGGAAGTAGGAGATGCTCACAATGTCAGTGCACCATGTCTTCCCGTCCTTCGGCTCGCTCTGGACCGAGTCCAAGATAAGCCCATTTGCACACGCCTCCTCGACCCAGCCTTCCCTCAACCAGGCGTTCTCAAGATCATCAATCGTGGCGCGCTTCGTGCGTATGGTGGTCTTGCCGAAGAACTTGCTGTCCGTGTCGCGGGGCTCCCAGTCGAGCGTGCGCGCCTGAGAAGTCCGACCGAGACCGCCGCTGAGGCTTTGGTCGACAGCAAGCGTCTCGGCGCCGTCCGAAGAGTGTTCATGCTTGACGATGACGGCGAGGGTGCCCATGTTGATGCCCATGCGCACGAAGTACGAAACGCCCTGCTTGCTCAAGATGATATCTGTGTTGTTACTCAAGGTCTTGTTCTGAGTCGCCATAAGTATCGCAGAAAAGTCCAGAAGAATCGCAACAAATCCTCACCTGGTTGTATTTGCCGCTGAGATCAAGAGTCGTCATGTTGGCGGGGACAGCCATGGTGGCGGCGTAGCTCGGAGAAGTGCTGAGAATGATGCGATGCGGCAGCACTCATACCTAATCCTTATATTCTGTATGGCTGGGGCTGCGAAAGAGGAAGTTAGGGATTCTTGTGCACCCCAGGCCAGTTCGCGGAGAAGCTTTACGAAGGAGACGACGGCAGGAGATGGTAGTGAGCGTTCGGTACTCACGAAGGTGCTAAGCATCAATGCATCATGCGTCATGCCCCAATCATGCCACACGTCCATACTCATTTGCCCCAGAGCGCGCAAATCCTACACTCAGAGTCAACAGTTCCTGTCCATTCATTAAATAATCCTGCATAACGTTAGCGGCCTGTGGAACGAGAAGTGCCACGATTCCACCAACTGACCAAAGCGTGAGAAGAGACCAAACACACGCACACTGTGCTTCGATCGTCACGTGATTTTGCCGTTTCGAAGTCGAACTATGGCTTCGCTCATCGGAGCACCGTGAGAACACGGGACGTTGCTAAGCGTATTAAAAGTTCGGATCCCCGCGCCACCTTACTACGACAGCGAAGAGAGGAAGATGCGGAGAGACATAGCCGCAGACGTGTGCAGTGTGCACTCCCAAGCGGACGAAGATGAGGAGCTCGAGAGTCGGGACTCTCGTCAAGCTCGGGCAGGGTCCCAGGTCCACCAATACCAGCAGGAACTACTTCAGATACCACCTGATCAGCATTATGTCCAAGCTAAGAATCTCAAGAGCCTGGTGGAATCGGCAGTGAGTAACCACTATGGCACAAATGGTTCCAGTGTTCACCACGTTGCAGAGCATTGCCCTAAGTGGGGCTAGCAAACGTGACAAGGAGATCCTCCAAGCCATGGGACAGAGCTTATTTCGTTATTTTCATCTCACTGGCAACTCTGATTTCTTCGCTCGTTTCGTAACAGACGAGTTATGAGCATCTGCTCGCGAGCGCACTCTCGCAGACGCCCGTGCGCTTTGTGCGCAATTCTTGGCTGGTAATTTAGTGTTAACAGAGATCTTCTCTGCCTTTATCAAGCTGTCCAATGCCGGCGCCATGCAAATGAGTTACTCCAGGTGCTTGGCGAAGATGAGGGGACACAGGAGCAGAACGATGGGGATGACAGAGATGACAGAATGAGCAAGGGCAAGAACAAGGGCAAGGGCAAGGCTAAGGATGGCAATGAAGGCAAAGAGAGAGGGGAAGAGAGAGATAGGGAGAGAGGTGGAAGGAGAGAGAGGGGGGGAAGGGGAGAGGGAAAAATGGAGGGAGGGATAGAAATGGAGGGAGGGATAGAAATGGAGGGAGGGATAGAAGAACACGAGGAGGAGGAGGATGAGCTCAGGGATGACGAGGAAGAAAGAGAGGAACACGAGGAAGAGGACAAGCTCAAGGATGATGAGGGAGATCAACTTGCTAACAGAGAGGGAGAAGAGCATGATCAAGAACAGAAAGAGCTTGAGGATGATGGGAATACAGCAAACACCACGTTCAGTGGCACACCAGCTTTGCAAGGACGCCATAAAGTGCGGGATGCGGATCAGCGGTTGTTAGCATTTGCACAGCGGTGCTCTGATGACATCATCACCCGTGGCCCCGACAGAGTGAGTGGTGTGCGAAATTCTTGTATATGACTCTGCTGACCGAGAACTGTTGTCATCTGCTTGTAGTGCGCGAACTGCTCATTTAAGGAGACATGTGTCTTCCACAAGGGCGACGAACAATGCATCCAATGCTTTACCAGTAAGCACGGTTGCCCGGGAAGGGGGACCGCCGGCACCTCGTCTCGGAAAAGAAAACGAAGCAACGAAAGTTCAGAGATGCAAAGCGACACTCGCGCAAAAACTGACCATACATCAGATCCTCTCACTCCTTCCACTATAGCTGCGGCAGGTATGTCACACTTTCCATGAGATGTCATGAAAAACATGTTCAACATAGATCTCAGGAGGTGCACCCACAATGACAGCTTCCGCTGCCCCGCTCGCACGCAAGCCAGAAGCCTGCGCGGATCTCGATGAAGCCAGCAATCAAGCGCACAGTCGATATAAGCAACTTGTCAATGAACTTGAGTTGTCATACGCACGCCTTAGGTTCTTGAAATTGTTTCATCAGGGTGCAATAGATTTGATGGATCAGTATTCAGCCTGCAAAGGAGAGGTCGCAACTGGCGTCGCAAAGGACTCTGGGCTAGTAGTTGAGGGTCCGGTCCTAAGAACCGGTCAGGACCGGGACTTGGACTGAGACTGGACTGATCAGGACTGGGTATGGTCCAGTCCTACGTCAGTCCAGTCTTGGTCACAGTCCTTGGTCCTAGATGGCGCTGGGTGCTTTTAGGACTGGTCATGACCGGTCAGAACCAGTCACAGACTAATATAAAGTAACAAAAATGCAGCACCCAGAAAGCAGCTTGGCTACTGGTACATGTATATCCTAGTAATTTCTGAACTGCAACTATGCCCTTGTAAGCTTGTCCAAGTACACAGCCAGCTTAAGCACAGATTAATACATTTTTTAAAACTCTTTTTATGATTTATTCAAGTTTGGATGCGGTTACTGCACATAATCAGCTAAAGCCATGACCATGGGAAGATGGAGCCTGAGCGTAGAGATAACAAGGCTCTCAAGGATATGGAGGTTTTATACAAAAATGCTGAGAATGATGAAAGTGGTGCATGATACCCTTCTTCTCTATTTAGAATCCAGCCATGTGAGCAGAGCATTGTTTTCTTTGCTGAATATAGTAATGTGCAGCCTTGGCTCAAAGCTTGCAAGCCCAGCCTAAAAAAGCCTGACCTGAGCCTGGCCTGGCAGTGGGCTCAAGGCCAGGCTTGAGTCAGTGGGCAGTCTCTGCTAGTGTGAACTTATCCTAAGCTTGGCAACTTGGGCTGGGCTCAGGCTCAGGCTCAGGCTCAGGCTTGGGGTCAGGACTCAGCCCAACATTGCCATGGGCCCAATCCTGGGCTTTAAGCTCAAGCTGTGCCTGCATATCACTAGCTGAATATTTGTTTTGATTTTTAAGTGTACAGTGTTCACCGGTGCCTTGTACGCACATTGTTTACCTATATTTGCCCATATACAATATTGCCTTTCATTCATATGTATAACATAACGTGAAGTAGCTGTCTACCTGCCAAGTCCCTCTCTTGAACCTTAACAACACAGACCACAGCTGTGGCTATTTTTTTGAGATCCTGCCTTTGAGTTCATCAAATATTCAGCCATGTCAAACACTCCCTCAATATCAGACTCTACGCAACAGTATTTCTGTGATGCCTTACAGTACATAAAGACAGTCTGGCAATGCATGAATGGTATATAGCACTTCTGAGATAGGCATCTGGTACACTCTTCTGGCCTTCTTGAGACTCACACACTGTCTTCTCTTTGACTCATTAGGCTGAGTAGTGTGGTCTCAAAACTGATTTGTCCAGAAATTAGCTTAGTATACTGCTAGTCTACCTGTACATGCAGTTCAAAATCAAAATTTGTTTATTTGTGTCATATTTATCAGGGCAGGACTGGTCTGAGCTGGTCTGAATCGGTCTAAGACCGCATTTGGTCCTAGACTGGTTATGACCGGTCCAGGACTGCACGAAGGACTGTACAGGATATTGTCGTGATACGACTACTGGGCTGCGCGAGCGCGAACTGGCGAGTGGCACGACAATAGGTTATGAGCCCCGGCTAGTAACTGGCCCCCATCTACCTTCCATCCCTCACAAGTCTTCACTCGGAGAGATCCGGCACCAGCCGCACATTAGCTCCATAACATATTGTCGTGATACGACTACTGGGCTGCGCGAGCGCGAACTGGCGAGTGGCACGCGGGCACGATCTAATACACACGGGGGGATTAGTCTGAGTGCGAAGGGAAAGAGCGCGCTGTATAGATCTAACCTAATACACACGGGGGGATTAGCTATACAGTGCGTAAGCATAAGTGCATACTGCGCAAGGGCGACGAAGGGACTTACTCTGAGTGCGAAGGGAAAGAGCACGCAGAGTGGAGATGCGAGAGAAGTCCTGATATACTAAAAGGAAGCAAAATTGAAAGTTCGCTAGAATGGGGAAGCCTGCCATAAAGAGGTCCGTGCGTGGGAGCACTACATATGATTGTCCAATCACTATCTACGTATTAGCAGCGCCTAATCTAAGATGTCCACCTTAAGTCCATGCCGGGCGGAATGCCGAGCCAGAGCCACTAGGCGCTTCAACACAGGACCAGGACTCAGTCTTGGTCCGGTCCTGCACAAACAGATGCTGGTCCTTGACCAGTTTGAGTCCTGGTCCCACCCAATTTTTTAAAAAGACTGGACCAGACTGGACCCTCAACCACTACTCCAGGCGGCACCTCTGATGCATCGCTTCACGTCGTGCTTGAGGTATCCGTTACTGTGGTCTGACATCTATTCCCATTGCTGTATACACCAGATCACCCCTGCTACCTATGACTAGTTTTCTGTAAGCGCATGATACGTACACAATATATCATCACGCCTTCCACCAGGCCCGCCTTGGGCGTCTCTTGTTTGGGCCCAGGGTGCGCAAACATGAACGAACGCGCACGAACGCGCATGAACATGCACGAACATGCACGAAAGCTCACGAAAGTGGGCAAACATACATGATCGTGCACGAAAGTAGATGAACGTACACGAAAGCGCATGAAAGCGCACGAACGCACACAATTGTGCATGCCGCTGAGCTTTGGTTTTGGTTACTGATTTGAGATTGGCGATGGCGCTAATGTGTGTGCGAAGGTGCGCAAAGGTGCACAAAGGTAAACATCTTGCAAAAAATAGAATTGTGATAACATGAATACGTAGTTCATCAAATGCACACTTTCGTGCGCGAAAGTGCATGTTGGCGACCAAACGCGCATCATCATGCACGAAAGCGCACGAAAGCGCACGAAAGCGCACGAAAGCGCACAAAAGCGCACAAAAGCGCACGAACGCACGCACGAAAGTGCACAAATACATGTATAACCTTAGATGCACATCGAAAACAAAAATTTGCGGCCGGTGCAAAGGTGAGAATTTATATTTGTCCAATAACACCCTTGATAGTAACGGGCAATGTGTGGAGTATCCATCATGAAAAAGAAATTTGGAGCCAGCAACACTTCATGGGTGTGATAACCAACTACACCATGTGCCCATACTCATCAGGTTTCATGGCTATATACTGTAGACTAATGTATGGTAGCAACCGAGGACGAGGTGTGACGCTTTACGACAGGCAACCAGTCATGTATGACTTGTGACCTAAGGCCTAATAAGAAATCGCCGCCGCAGCCCGCAGGTGCAACTTGCGCAGAAACTAGCAACCAACTGACTGTGATGCGTGACATCGAACCAGATAAGAAACGCGTCTAGTGGTGTGTGACGCGTGACGTTGCTACCATACAGTATATTATCAAAGACCCAGCGCCAGCGACCACTATCTTGACTCTTTGGCAACGTTGTGCAGAACTCTCACGAGCGGCGCCGCGGCATTTTGATCCTGAGCAGCTCTCATACGTGAAACCATCAGAAGATAGACCGAATGATCGTCAGCCATATGCTGTTCGCCATGAGAGGCTCGAGCACCGCTGTTCTGGGAGCTTGTTGGTACGCTGGCCAGCTCTGACTCTCCATGTTTTGCTAACTTCAGACGGAATGCAGGGCAATGGTGTACGCATGAGCTGTGGTGGGGTTTCTACACGGTCTGTTTTGATGCGACCATTGTGAGGCTTGCTCACTATTGCCGCAGCATCACCGCAATAAAGAGTACAATCACATACCGTGTATGCAGTGCTACCGCGGAGGTAGTAATGCAGTTGATCTTTGATCACCCTTTGCTGAAGGTGCGACGACCAACACGATTTAGTGAAAACGGTGTAACCTGGTCCCCACCCTTCTCTCGTTCTCCCACTCTCAGTCAGTTCGCTGCGATGAGAAGTCGTGTAGGAATTGTCCTGTCTCTCTCGCTCCTCTGGGCCTCTCTGCGGGCATCAGCTCTCACACTCGTGAACATCACTGTGGACGACAACGACCCTAGCGTCATCTACGCGCCATCTGACGACTGGAGCTTTGGACCGAGCTGTTCTACGTGCACGGCGCGCGTAGACGCGAGTCAGGCCTTCAACGGGACATGGCACGACACGCTTTTCTCCCCGAGTGATCCGAGCGAGGACGAGACTCAGACTGCCGAGCTTTCCTTCATTGGTACGTAGTCTCACCGCGCCATCTTCCTGACCGAGTAGCTGAAGCAACATATTGTCTGTGCAGGCTCTGCGATCTATGTTTACGGCATCCTCTCAAATGCAATGAACAACCCGAGCGGAAACGCGGATCAGGTGTTTTTCGTCGATGGTGTACGCGCTGGGAACTTCACGCACACGCCGAGCGGTGATGGGTCGTTCGAGTACAGCGTTCTCCTCTTCTCAGCCCAGCTTCCGAACGGTTCGCATAACCTGACGCTCCAGAATGGCCAGCCAACCGACGTTTCGTCGTTGATTCTGCTGGACTACTTTGTGTACACGACGTGAGTGCATCATTCCGCGATATCCTTCTTTCTTGACGAGTGTTTTTGTATAACGAAAAGTGCCGGAATCGTTACTGCGCCCTCCAGCTCAAGCAACAGCATCTCGACGTCAGCATCAACTTCGGTTGCGTCAACAGGACAAGTTGTGTCTTCAACTCCATCGTCTCCACCAGCTGCCTCTTCCAGCGCCTCGGGCAACGCATCCGGAAGTTCAGCGTCGAGACGGAGAACCATCATCATCGTGGTTGTCGTGATATGCATTGCTGTAGTTGCGTTGCTCGCACTGTTCGTCTTATTACGACATCGCCGATTCTCAAGGCGCAACATGACAGACCCCTCAGCATTCCCGCCGGAGGCTTTCTCGATCAACCCGTTTCCACCCACGACAATGGCCGAGACCGCAAAGCCCGGCGAGCTGATAGTACGATCCGCGACGGCTGTCTCTGCGCCGCGCAAAGGTGCTCTCCAGTACCACAGCATACTGACAGAGGTGTCAGCTCCGGAAAGCTCTGTTGTCCCGCCGACGGACGAGAGCGAGTCCTCAGTCGCGCCACTTCTGGCTATGCCCACGGCCGTGCCAGCTCCATCATCTCTGTCGCACACAGGCATCGCGTATCCGCCTGTGCCTGGACTTGCGCCTCCAGGCACAATGCCCTCCGCACACGCGGGTGGGGCGTTCTCGCCTGTCATGTTCTCACCCTTCTCGTCGGACGCGGCGCAGCACGGTTGGTCTCTTGCGTTCGTGCGCACGGGCGCGCCGATGGGAGACGCGTCCGAGGGCGGGCTGCCGCCGTACGAAGTGGGTACTCCTGGAGGGGTGGCTGTGTAGCCGAATAGCGGGAAAGCCGTGCCGTCTATGTGAAGTCCCGATGGAAATGCCGGATTTCCATCTCTAGATTCATGGTTCCCGTGTAAGTCTGGACTGCTTATGGGTGATTTGGGTGGTTACCAATGTCCTTGGATATAGTATGGTTTCTGCTAATTTCGGGGGCTCGTTTGTCTGATTCACATCGCTGGCGGACGGATGTCGGTGGTCGCGAGACCCTGTCTAGTTCCCGGCACGATAGAAACGACTGCGACTGTGGGACCGCCCGGCGTTTCATTGCTTCTTCCGCTTGCTATCGAACGCAGATGTACGGCACCGTTTGATCATCATGCTCCTTCTTCTGCGCGTCTCCTTGTCAACGAGTCACCACCCGGTTGCGACTTTGTGGCGTTCCGAGCGACATAGCCGCGAGGACCTAGATAACGCCGGATACCCCTGGGAGTAACTTCGAGGTAGCCCATCTAAGCCATGATCATTTGACCAGCAACATTCGTTGGCGTGCGAGAACGCTACGGTCCTGTTGGAACACTAGTGCTACTGGACATCGCGGAGTGGCGGAGGCAGCATAGCATGGTTGATGCTGGATCTGTCGTCCGGGCTAGTCATGATATCGGTACCAGACGGCACGACTGTGTCAAAGTTGCACCAAATGAGGCTATTCAGCCTCCTACAATCAGTAAGAAAGATATTCGAAAGAGAAGCTATCAACGTTGATCACGATAATCCAGGGATGTACTAGCCAGAGCACCAGATGTGGGCGGCTGTTAGCTTGCGATCGCGCTTTCAGCACGCCGTCCTCGTTGGTCGACAGGGCACGACTACCGTCGAAAGATTGTGTTCGCTTGCGATGCACTTCTATCCTGAGGGTCGCATAGGCCGGTTCCACAGTGCGTCGCATCAGGGACCACAGCCGCGCTATCGGCGGCCCTCTCGCCTTTTGATGGGCGCACGATCGTGCATGGGCAGTGTTTCAGAATTGCCGCACCAGAGCTTACATATATGCCTGGCCGGAAGCCAGACCTTGTCCTTCTATCCCCCTGTCCACAACATTTGTACGACGGCTCAAGCTAGCCATGGCACACATACCCGAACCGCAGCAGGAGCTGCCCACTGAGGTCGTGCAGACAATGTAAGCCCGCCATGCGTGCCCCATCCCGTTTGCTTCCGCGTCTCATAAGTCCCGCGCGCTTTTTTTGTCCAGATATCACGCGAATTTGCTGCTCATTACCGTAGCAGGTGAGGGAGACGTTGGTTGCACTTGGGTTGCTGGATTCTGACCCAATCACAGCTCTGCCGCTCTACGAGTATACCATCACCTTCAGGCAGGAAGTCGAAATTGTATGGAAGAGACAGCCAACGCTGGCATCTGGTCTACTGCTAATCACGCGATGGAGCCTCGTCATAGGGTCCATAATGCTTACTCTGCCTCAGCCCACACCAGAAGTGAGTCTTCTTATTCTCCATGCCTGAAATTCGCTGACATGCCGCTGTAGACGTAGGGTATTATATTTGCGACTTATGTGTATCAGCACTAACACTTTCGCTAGATGCAATAGACGCATAAACATGACTTTAGGTCCCGTCTTGCTGGGATACACCTTGGTAGCCAGTACGTCTGTTCGCATACCTCTACTTCGCCCGTGTTCACCACGATGCCAAGCAGCGTTCTCTGCTTTCCGCGCCTTTGCGGTCTGTAACCGCAACTGGTTCATTTTTGCAATTGTGCTGGTGATTGGGCTGGTTCCCTCCTGTTTGCAGCTCGTAGGTGGCCTCCCACGCCCCTTCTGTCATTTCACTGCTCACCGCCACATCCCAGTCGCTGCTCGCTCACTCCCAGGTTTCACTCGGTTTCATGGCGAGCCCACCTTTCCTCTGTAATATGTCTCGCATGCTGCGAGGACGAACGGCTCACGCGTAAGCATCGCTACTCTCCTCGCCATCCGGCTCACTAATCCCTGCCGCAGATGTACGTCGCTCCGCACGTCCACTCGGGGACGCGCTAACAGTTTAAATACAAATTAGACGCGCTAGCGACGAGGTTACCCGTCATACTTGCGGAATGCATCGTCGTGCTCCTAACATGGCGCAAGACCTACTCGGCAAGCCGCAGTTCGCTCAGGCGCCCGTCGAACGTCGCAGCGTATCTCCTGCGTGACGGTATGGACATTTCTTCAGCTCAGAGGAGGGGCCCACTGACGTTATGACAGGGACATTATACTTCCTGTGAGCCCCGTCACTGTCGCGTACCGTCACCACAAAACTGACACTGGCGTGCCAGAGCCATGATGACGATACAAGTCGTCCAGATAATCATCCTCATCCACCCAGTACGCCTCTCCTTTTATCTCTCAGCCGGCCTCACTCACTCATATTCCGCAGACAATTGGATCCCTCGGCGCGTTCCTCGACACCATCGTAAGCACCCGCACCCGCACGTTGCTGCGCATACACAACCGCTGACAACCCGCCGCGCAGCCACCGATACTCGTCGGTCGGTTTATCATGCATCTGAGCCGCATCGGGCGCGCGCCGGCGCCGGCAGAGTACACGACGTCCGAGGCGGGGCAGCCTCTCACGAGCGCCGTGTCGCTCAGTGCGCCGAGCGCGTGGTTCGTCGACGAGCTCGGGGGCGAACTCGACCACGCCTTGGAAAAGCACGAGCCTTCTTCTGAAAGCGACCAGGAGCACTATGGGTCTTCTAGTGATGAGCATTACGGCGATACGGTCGTGGGGCTCGATGATATCGAAAGGATATCGCCGGTGCGTGGTGGAATCTTGAGAATGGACGGTAGTGCTGATGGTGCGCGTGTTGCTTAGACATATACCCTGCCAGATCAACCGTGCGCATCGGGCTCGAGCACATTTATGGAGAGCGAACAAAAAATACGGACGAGATAAAACAGTTGCTGTACAGTACTTTACAGCCTCGAGACATGCGCGTGCATGTATGCGTATGAAATCACTTTGGCTCCCTTGGCATCGTTGATGAATATGGATAGCAGGTCTCGACAATCTGAGAAAACAACTGACTAGGCACTGCAGAGTTGCCAGTACAAGTGCTACAGCAGAAACGTACCTCTAAAGGCTTGGCTATGACCAAATTCCTCACGGGTACGTCCGTGAATGCGACACGAGCTTGCGAGAATCCGGAGTGGGACGAGCCTACAAGATACGCTAATTCGGGAGAGGAAACGAACCTTTGAGGCACGCTTTCTTCACTTAGCCTTCATATTGATATCACGCAGAAATCGTTCCTAACTCCCTTCGGGGCTCGATCGCGCTGAACCGCCAGGCTTCGACGCTTGCACTAGGCTTGAGTACGTGATGAGCGTGCGTTCTGCCGTCGTCTCTGTAGGGGTCGACCCTTCGGCTATCTGTAACCGCGTATGCTGTTCGGACGCAACGGCTCAGCTGACATGTTGGACATGCCGAGCGCGCTTTGGTTTGAAATTTATTCTGTAAACCATTACAGATCCTTACGGGAAGGCATCCAATGTCACGTAGAACTCATTTCTAGCCCCCTCTGGTGCTCAATCGTGTCAGTAATTCAGACTCTGGTAACCGTGCTAGACATGCCAAGTACGTCATGAACGTACTCTCTGCTCTCGTCGCTAAGATAGACCCAGTTCAATTCCGACTACATCACGTGAGCGAGCGCTCACGCTGTGTCTCAGCAAAACTCAAATTAATCCATAACTTCGTGTGCACACAACAGCTCAAAAATTTATAATGAACATCTTGTAGAGAATGCATTCAACTATTACTTGTACGTCGTCAATTTTTTAAAATCAAACAGACCACAGTTTTATGGGGTATACAAGAACCAAAGTAAGCGTCAACTAAGTTTGATTAAGGTAATACACCAAGAGTTTCAGTTCGGCGGCCCAGACACGGGAACTTATTAAGTTACACCAGACTAGCCACCCAGAAGCACCCAAGAGTGGCTAAGACACGCTGAAGAATTTCCGAAAAGCCCAAAAAATGGCACAAGCGGGAATCAAGCCTGCAGCCCAAAAGCAACCGCAGCGCACTATACCACTAAGACATAAGACCTTGCAAATATAAGCTTGGAATTGCCCTATACTACCACTTTTCTACCTCAAAGTCTTAGCTGTAATATTGTAGCCAATTATCAGGTATTAAAGCATTGGAATGTAATTGTACAAAGGTATATTCTAATGGTATGGCTAAGTCATTGAGTCATTAAATATTTGCTATTGGTTCTGCTTATTGTACAAATGTATATCCTGATGGCGTGGCTAAGATACTAGTGTGGCTAAAACACCGGAGCAGATGAACTATACTCAAGTGGAATCAATAGCAAATATTTAATGTTCCAATGTCTTAGCCACACTAGTGTCTTAGCCACGTCAGTGTCTTAGCCACGCCATCAGGATATACATTTGTACAATAAGCAGAACCAATAGCAAATATTTAATGACTCAATGACTTAGCCATACCATTAGAATATACCTTTGTACAATTACATTCCAATGCTTTAATACCTGATAATTGGCTACAATATTACAGCTAAGACTTTGAGGTAGAAAAGTGGTAGTATAGGGCAATTCCAAGCTTATATTTGCAAGGTCTTATGTCTTAGTGGTATATAGTGATGTGTGGGCCGGGCCTCAAAGCCTCCAAGCCCGCCAAGCCCGGCCCAAAAAGCCTGGCCCGAGTCAAAACCC